GAGGTTATACAAAATCAGTATGGCAGAACAGAAGTGTACTATCAACAAAGCATGCCTACAACAACTTCCTCAACACAACTACTTCAGGGCACAAATATGTATTTCTATCTCCATTAGACTGCTAGGATATTAAAGTAGGACTTAAAGTAAATTTCAACATATAAATACTCCAGTTGCTCTTCCAAGTTTGTATTTTTTTATTCAGGCTTAAATGTATGAGTAGGAATACCTAGAGTAAGAAGCCAAAAAAACACAATAAATTACTATTATCAAAAATAAGAAAATTGTTTAAGAGCAAAAACTAACCAACTAACAATTATATTCAGTGTGACACTTGCAGGGGGGGAAAAAAAGGAGGAAAGAGATCTTACTATGTCTAAAAAACCTGGCAGCATCTCTCTACCTTACTAAGACAGATTTTTGTCAGGACATACTTTGATGAAAAAGCATGGTTTTAAAATCAGTTCAAATATTTGTTGTTTTGTAGGTAAAGTCATAGAATTTGGGAGTGGACTAGTGAAAGAAGGAAAGCTTTATTTTTATCAAACATGGTAATATACAAAGTAGAAGTTGTAAGCTTGGAAAAAAAAAAGTTTTGACAACTGTTCTAGATCTCCAAGTACAATCTGAAATTTATTTTACAGTCCTAAGAGTATTTTTTTTATTGTTTCATCTGACTTTGTCTTCACAACAGTTTTACTTACACAGCAATGTACTAAAAATACATAAAATGTTATCATGGATTAAGCTCAAAGAGTACTCTGAAACCATCGAGTATAGGGCCATACATACCTGCCTTCCCATATTCAGTAGCTGCACTATCATAATCTGGTTTCCACTTTAAGAATCCAGTTTTCAGACTAAAATGCAAGAAGAAAGGCCTATTAACAATTAGTAAAGACTTTATGTTTTCCCTTAAAATATATTTAAAACTTTAGATTACCTCTGAAAAGGAGCAATTACCTATATGTCAATACTATGGTGGCAACACTACTACAAAAATAAACGCTGGCATTGTTAGGAATTGCATAAAGCACTGCTATGTTCTCCCACAGTTACATGCCTTGCCCTAACATGCTTCTACTGTCCACAGAGAGACTTCACAAGCCCAGCGTTTCAACAGTATGAAGTCAACAGAAGTACTTCCACCTACACCAACATGGTATCTCAAGATTTCTAATACCACAACACAACAATATTTTTTGTTACACATCATGAAGTTTCCAGTGTTCCTCTACAGCATTTTTTTCCTGCTGAGAATTACCAAAGACTCTCCACTGCATACACAAATGAAAGAATGTACTTACCAACACACAGACAAAGCCTCATATGTCATTTATACGTCTACAATAGATCATGACACTAAATGGCACCACACGTACTCACAGACACATTTATAGTGAAAAATACACACAGCAAAATGAGGTGAGTCATCAGGCAATGCTAATTTCAATATTATGACCTCCTCACTTCTAAAACAAATATAAAAATCACCATAACTTTAGAGTCCACTTCCATATTTGTTGTGGGCAGACACTTCAGATGCAATACATGCTTAATTTGGAAAAACAGTTGTATATAGACTCTGTGTTGGTTTTGTTGTCTTACTTGCATGAAAGCCACAGTATGTAACTCTAAAGCAAGCCTTTATATTGTGTTATTTTTATCACAGGCAATATCTCAAACACATCAAGCTGAAATACATAATGCTTTAATCTGCACACAACTTGAGATTTAGGTGCCTTTTATTTCAAATGCTTTCCATGAGAAGCTTAAAATGAATTTCACTGAAAGGTACTTTTGGTCAAATAATTTGAATAAAATACTCTAGTACCGATTTTTTTTTTATTCTGAGGAGGTCTCTCCTCTATCACATCTTTGATCCATGATTCCCAGATGGCCCATCACTATTCTTACTGAAATTATAGCATCTTTGGATTAGTCAGCTCTATTACATATATATGTAGTCTGTGAAATTGAGACTTATAAGAAAAATGGCTATATTCAATGTTAAAATACACATTACAAGGTTATCACATGTAGATGTTAAGCCCTCTAAGCTAAGTGTCAGCACAGGTCTTTGAGGCCATCTAAAAAGAAACAATCACACAGTTCTCATAAGCAGGAAACAAACAAACAAACAAAACGCACCTCAGCAAGGTTAAGCTCTTTTATTCACCCCAATCCTCACAATTCTTTTCTCTTGCTTGTCTCTCTCTCACTAACTTGAAGAGCAGAAGTGACTCCCTTCGCTTTGCAGTGAGGGTCAGAGCAATAAGGGCTACCCGGCCCTCAGGCAGCGGCTGAGGCTCCAGGCTGCTGCCTCACCGACGCCCCTTGCTAGTTTTAGGGCCGCTTTCTTCTGGCGGTTCGGGGAAGAAAGGTGCCCTTTAGCACCCAGCCCCCGTAGGGAGGGACCCCTGAGGCAGAAGAGGGGCCAAGCAGACTTGCCCCCACTCCCTCCGCGCCGGCCTCCCGCAGCCCGGCGCCTCGCTCCCCTTCCCTTCCCTTCCCTTCCC